CTATGTCTCTGTCTGTCTGGTGAGCACACGTGCCCTATAGCAAAAAACCTTTCCAAAAAAAAAAAAAAGAAAGAAACAAATGCATGATTTTGGGATGTTAAGATTATAATATATATATATGTATACATATATATATTATGAAACAAATCATCCAACCTTCTCACTTTAGAGATTAAAGGATTAGAAATTAATGATTATTACAAAACCTCAATGTTCAGTGAGTAGTTACTGATAAGAGTCAAGACTAAAGACAGATTTTTAATAACTGTCCAGTTTATTTTTTGCGTTTCAATATTATCTTTCTCTCATTTATGAAGACTGTCTAAGTACATCTAGAAATACTTTAAATATGTAGTCTGCAACTTTACTTGATTTTTTAAAAAATATTTATTTATTTATATCATTATTTTTGAATTTTAAAATACAGAGAGAGAGAGAGAGCAAGCTGCCAGGTTCGGGACTTGAATCGCCATCAGCCGTGTGGGAGTTCAAGGCCTTCAACCACCACACCACATTCCAGTCCCACTTGATTCTTTTAAAAATATAAATAGATTACATGGTACTTGAAATAAAATTAAAGTGGATTAATAGTAAAATCCGGTATTTAAGAAATAACATTTCCTTTCAGGCCTTAACACTTGGCGTGCTAGTTATAATATATATGCTTCTTCACCACAATGACATAGTTATGTCAGCGTAGGTAAAGAAAAACACACGGAAATTAATAGTTCACCAATTTTGAGACGCTAATGGTCTTCCTTGACATCAGAATATGTGTTAAAATTACCAACATAACCTACATGCCATCAGCCATATTTTCTGTTTTTGTATCTCTGAAATTTGGATACATTTATAATCGAAGACATCTTAGATTTGATGAAATCTGATAACATTTCTAACATCATATTACCTAATTCATGTGGCAGTTCATGACAGAAGACAGCTATAGAAGTACTGATTCCTCCTGTCAGTCCAGCACTGAAAGCGGCTCCTGAGGATAAGAAAGCACAAGTGCCATTACTAATCTTTCATTTCTTCATTTTCATTAACCACAGATAGAGTCTCTTGCCTATCTAAATTAATCTCACAATATATGAATGACTTAATTATCTTATATTCTACAATTTTGAATGTTATTAGTGGGGTACAACCAAAGAAAGTGTGTTACAACCAGAGAAAGCTATTTAATGAGAGCAATAGTCTCTATTAACTCATTAGTAACTTGGGGATAGTTATAATTTTCAGTCGTCAACCTCTGAATAGCAGTTTGGTACTCACTTTTAATACTATGATTATTCCTTATTCTCTCTCAAAATTTACATTTATAGATATTTTAACTAGCATCCTTATCAAAATTTTTCTGAATCTAGAGCATAAATGATACAAAGTATTACTGAGCAGTCAGGAAAGTCATGATGTATTTTTTTCTATGTAAAAATGCACCATGACTTTTCCAACAACCCAGTATTTGTTAAAATGTTCTTGAAGGCAGATCTGATGTATATCTGAGTCCAATAGTGAAGTTCTTAGTTTTTTATTTTCCCCCCAATTTTTGCTACAGAGGTACAGGTGCGAGTTAGCTATCTCCCATGAGCACACACACCCTTATCACAAATTAAAATAAATAAATAAATAAATAAATAAATAAAAGGCTCTCTTTTAGGAATATGTAAACGTATTTGAAAATATATGTTAAGGTACATTTTTCAAGGCGGTGACTGTAATTTTAAAAAGAAATCAAGTTACCGCCCCAAATACACTTACCAAGCACAAAAACCATTGCCTTTGGGAAAACCAAAAAGAGTAATGAATAATAGTATATATTCACTAAGTTTCAAATTTTAATCTTACCTATCGTAGTTCATACGATTAGTATAAACATAACGGAAGAAACCATGTTAGGCACGACCAATTATAACCCAGGTTTCAAGTCCACTTACCAATCGCTAGCCCGTCACTGAAGTTGTGGATGCCATCCCCCATGATCACCATCCAAGCTATATTAGCGATTCCTGTTTCTTTCAAATCTGATCCAGAATGGCAAGGACCGTGTGAATGATGAGAATGTTTGTGGTGCCACTGATGATTATGTTTCCTCAGCACAGTTTTATTCTCATCGTGGTGGTTATGTGCAGCAGCATGGAGATCGTGCTCATGAATGGTATGCAACCCATCACTGTGAGAATGGTCCATGATTTTCTCCTCTTCTACACAAAGGTAATTTTTAGGAGGGGATTCTTGTTGGCCTTCTAAATCTGTCAGTTCAGTTTCATTAAGTCGATCTTCAGAAACAACCGAGTCATCAGTTCCTATATTTATAGCAAAGGATATGCTTTATCAACAAGTAAATGCATGCGTATTTTCTAATTTAAATCCAGGCAGAATAGCAGTATAATGAACAATTCTTAACTGAGTTAATTTTTAAAAATTCTTAAATAAGTATTTTTCCTCCAAAATTATTTAGAAGCCATTCAAACTGAACAATGTTTACTGGAATCCAGTAAAGAGCAATGAAATGTAATAAAACATGTAAACAAACAAAACGGTGTTTGGTAAGTTCAAAAGATGATCCAGCTAGGGTAAATGGGAAGGAATTGAAATCCACAACAGGCAAAGTGAGGGAAAAAGTGGAAAGCATGAGATATTGTGAAACTTAAGGAATGTATCATGGAATAGTGATGGAAATCCAAGGATGGAATATTATAGCATTTACAGGACAACAAAACGCAGCCCATAATTTTCCGGAGAAGGAAGGAATCTTAGCACTCATCCGCTGGGAAGTTCTCTTACCATTTAAGGAAACAAAGACAGAATTTAAATAACTTGTCCAAGTCACACAGTTTTTGGATGGCAAAGTTCTTTATATCCTTCAGCAACCCCCACCTGATAAAGCTACTAAGAATGCTCACTGCTTGAATAAGCTTTGGAAACTCATGCAAGTGGTAACAATACCTGATAAACAATCTTTTTTAAAATTAAAGTTGGCCTTTTGCCTCAATTTCCAAAGCTATTTGAGGAAGAGTTCTACAGGCTACCTCTTTTCTGAAGAAAACCATTAGTATATTCAGGGGAAACATAAATTCAAACAGAAAGGGAGAACATTAGATTAAAAACCATTTTTGTTTCCCTGAAATTTGTAAACTATCTCAATACATCTATCTGGCAACAGGAGAGAGGGTGGATGAGCACAGATTTTAAATACAAAGGCCAAGCCCATTCTCTTTTATGTACAAAGGCCTATTTTTCTTTTTCCATATAAAACCAATCAAATATGGAGGACATGGAGATTTTGCAGTCAAGAAACAAAACTAACATCAATTCACCGCTTAGAAAGACTTTTTGTTTCGCTCATGTTTTCTTTGTACACTGAAAGTGCAAAATGTTCTGTACACCACAATATAATTGGACCCACACTGCAGCATAAATAAGGCTGAAATTAACAAAACAAACTAACAAATCTGCAAGACAAACTCACATTAAGGAAATACATGTCAGAAACTATTATTAGGTAAGCAACAAAGATGAGAAATTTCAAACATAAGCACAGTTTAGAAACATTTCAATTTTATGTCTTAAAAGTTTCTTTTTAGTCAGAACTGTTGTCTACCGGCAAGAGGCTTGAGTTGAAGCCAGTCAGCATCTGGTGTATTGTTTAACTTATGATCTGAAAGCTTTCTTCCAATAGTTGATTCTTCTGTGCTCTGCTTCATAAACCATTTCTGCTTTCCCTGAAAAACAAAAAAATTTGAGTATTAGCATAAAATCTGTAGTAACAATTAGCAACAATATTCACGTGTTAGGGAACCAGCAGTTAGCGTAATGGCTATGTCACTGGACTCCCATGTAGTCAACCGTGGTTTAAGTCCCGGACCTCAGTGGCTTAAACTCACGCCATGCCCGTGTGCATGTATGTCCAAGATCCCGAGAGGAGAAAGGAGGAGAATGGATTGCAGCATGGCCATCCCTGTGATTTCTCACTTTTTTCTCTCTGTCTTTCTGGTGAGTACATGTGCCCTATAGCAAAAACCTCTCAAGAAAAAAACAAGAAAAAGAAAGGAAAAAAAAAAGAACAAAGTAGACTACTAAATTTTTACATGCAATATGTGACATGTAGGCTGAAGATTTTGGTATTTGGATATACATAATAAAAAATCTGAGGAGGGGGCCGGCAGGTGGTATGGTGGTTAAGGTCCTATATTCCCACATGGTTGACCATGGTTCAAGTCCTGGAGTTGGTGGCTCGTTTTCTCACTTTCTCTCTCTCTGTCTCTGTGTCTCTCTGGTCAAACTAACAAGTAATAATAAATAAATAAAAATTAAAAAAAAAAAGAAATCTGAGGAGATGATACCCAAGTCTAAATACAAAATTAATTCATGTTTCACACACACTTTATATAAAAAACCTGAAGTAATTTTATACTACTACTTTTATTAGATTGTTGGAAAAGTCATGATGTATTTTTCTATGTTCTTCTGTGCAAAAATGTGTCATGACTTTCTGACAACACAATATATTGCAGGATTTTATTGCAACTCATCACACACATGAGATTCAAACAGAAAGTTTTGGATTTTGGCTGACCACAATGGTGGAGCGGTAACATAATTAGTTCTGTGATGCTGAAGCTATATGGGAAGGCCCCAAGTTTGCTTCCCGACCTCTTACTTAGACCCTCCTAGGCATACCTGTTTCACCCACCGCTCAAAAATGGAAGAAGTAAATAATCTTTAAGAAATAAGTTTTTACTTTTAAAGAATTTCAGATGATGGATGCTCAACCTGTGTATGTAATATCTCTCTTACTTAATAAAGTAAGGTAACAGAAAGTTTTAAAACAGTAAAGCTTATTCCTTAGAATTTTTGTTTTGTATTTAACAAAATCTCAAATTCCTCTGTGAAATAACATTACAATCCTAAGTGTATAGTATAATTCTGAGAATTTGGCAAGTCTGTTAAATTCAGAACATAAGAGTACTCATTTGTAAATTAAAAGTAAGATTCTTTGTTTTTGTTTCTTGAGGTTGTTTTTTTTTTTTTTTTTTGCTATAGGACACATGCGCTGGCCAGGAAGACAGAGAGAGAGAAAGCAAGAAATCACCCTCCCTGGGGTGCCATGCTGCAATCCTTTCTCCTCCGTTCTCCTCTCAGGATCTTGGGCATGCATGCACACGTGCCCAGCTTGAGTTTAAGCCACCAAGTCTGGAACTTGAACCGCGGTCAACTACATGGATTCCAGTGATATAGCCATTACACCAACTGCTGGTTCCTATAACTGACTCTTTTTTTTTTTCTTTTGAGAGGTTTTTCACTATAAGGAGAGTGCACTCGCCAGACAGACAGAGAGAGACATAGAGACAGAAAGCAAGAAATCACCCCCCAGAGGGGATGACCATGCCACAATCCCTTCTCCTCCATTCTCCTCTCGGGATCTTGGGCACGCCCGGCGTGGGTTTTAAGCCACCAGGTCCGGGACGTGAACCGCGGTCGACTACGTGGGAGTCCAGCGACATAGCCATTACACTAACTGCTGGTTCCCCCTATAACTGACTCTTAACGTAACACTGAAAAAGACAAACATTCTGCTCACTCCATGGCAAGGGGAGGGGGAAGGGAAGGGTTAGGGGGTCCTGTCCCCTGCCCTAGAATTTAGGCTGGCCTTTGACCAACAAACAGAATGCAGCAGAAGGGAGGCTGTGCCAATTTCAGGGCTAGTCCCAGGCCTGACAGCTTGTGCTTTTGCTCAAGGAAGCCAGATACTACCCTGTGAAGAAGCTCAGTCTTGACTATGAAGAGACACCAGGTAGTAGGAATACCAAGATGCAGAAATGGAGTGAAGCATTCTTGATCCTTCCAGTGATGATCAGCCCAGCCCAGCAGAGACCAGCTGAATTTAAATGTAGTGAGGGATCACTGATAAACTGTTCTGGAGTGATCTGCTTAGCCAATCTCATTTCCCTCCAGCTACTCCTGCTTTGACATATTCATTCTCTACTTGTCCATCAGAACTAATTACTTCACCTTCAACATGATCTTTCAAAAAACTCAGGGCTGCTAGGTCTCCTTTATGTTCCTCTAAGCAGAACCTTCTTAGTTCCTTTTAGAACTCTCCAAGTAATATTTCACTAAGCTCACTACCCTAATCACCTCTTCTTTAGTAAGCAGATATGATGATGTCCTGACTAAAATATGATAACTCAAATACACACTTTAAAACATGGTAGGAAAATATAGATGAAAAATAAGATTTATTCCCCATGATTTAGATAGCTACTGGAAATCATGGGGAATGGGCCACAACCACACAGCTAGTTTGTGCATTCTCCCCCTCCCATCTCTCTCTCTCTCTCTCAGGTGAGTGCAAACACCCTATGGTGATCAAGAATAAAAGGGTTTAATAAAAATCAACATCTAATTAAGAAATGGCCAGAAAATGAAAATGAAATTAACAGCTGAAAAATACTTACTCTTTGCTGTTTGTAGTGCTTAAACATTCTAATGCAGTGTTCAATGATAAACAGCAAGTAAATGCCCCCTAGAGCGACAAGTCCTTTCAACACAGCATCATATTCTTCCAAAAACTTTTTTGATTCATGTCCATGAGAATGTCCATGCCCGTGTGCATGCTGATGACTATGATCATGTCCACCCTGAGACTATTGATGAGAAAATAGAAAACTTTAAACAAGAAATTGAAGTGCAATTAAAAATGTTGAGATTATAATATCCTAGGGTACATGGAAAAAATACCTTTCAAGTTTTAAATTGCTCCCCTAGATAGTATCTCATGGAAAAATTCACCTTCCATTTCTACTTGCTTTACTCAGTTGTCTAGGAAATAGTACATTTACTGGTAATTCAAATACCTATGAGGGTAAGATATATTCTATAGATATATTCTATCAAGCCAGAGTGATGGATCCTCTACAAATTGAAGTAAACATGACTTTTGATATACCATAAAAAGATAAACTCCTATCACTCTTGAATTAAGAACTTACATTCAGAATGACTAATAAAGCTAAATATATCCAGTGAGTATTTTTAAAGACCAGTGAAAATAAAGCTGATACCACCAGCCTTTGCTGTTACTTAATAACCTTCGATTCAGTCAGCTCTCCGACCCAGTGGTAACATGCTGCTAAAGCAATGCTGGAGCCCTGCGGAGGACTGTGGGTTCAGTTCCCTCTTGACTTACACCCAGAGGGGATGTGTCCATGATCCTGGCTGGCTGAGAAGGCTGGGGGAAGGTAAGACCCTGTCGAGAGAGGGTACTTGTCTTTCTCCTCTCATGAAAGCAATAAACTTCGCAAGAACAAAAAGCCTTAATCCCTAATTAAAACCAAGAATGGAAAAAAACTAGGTCCTATAAGCAAATAAAATAACACATATATTAGATCAGTGTGCTATTGCTTGCTAATAAGTTACCCTTAAGTTTAAATTACTAATGTAAAGTTTTAAAAGATGACAGGATTTCTTACGTGGGGCAGTAGATGAAGAAGGGCATCGCCGCTCATCGTTCCTACAGCTAGTGCAACAAGGAATGTAAGAAGAAATTTGAAGCATCCTTGGTTAATGATGGGAACCAAGATCACGCCTAGCAGGGAAAGCAAGCTAATGACAGTGATCGAAATGATGCCACAAATCCAGGCTGTAGAAAAGAAATTAATAGTCAACATTAGGATGATAACAGAAACCAAAAAAGTTCCAAAAGAAGATAAAAAAAACCATGAAAGGTAATTTTACACAGACTATACTTTTTGAAAAAGAAATTTCAGGGGCCAACAGATGTTATGGTGGTTAGGACGCTGGATTTCCACATGGCCTACTACTGTTTGAGTGCCGGCCCTAGTAGCTTAACTATCACACTAGGCACTTGCTTCTGTGTTCCTAAAATTCCAACAGGAGAAAGGAGGAGAAGGGAATGTGGTGTGGCCATCACTCCCCAGGGGAGCAGAGGGTGGGGGATGGAGGGAGAGAGATTTTTCACTTTTTCTATCTCTCTTCCCTGTGAGTGCACACACCCTGTGACAAAAAAAAAAAAAAAAGAAAAGAAAAAAGAAAAAAAATTTTAAGTTAAAAATTAAAAGAAATTTTATTGTATATTTTGAGGTTTACAAAATGTTATGAAATAGCATGGATACAGAGCTATCTGTAGCTGCATACTGATAGTGCAGTTCTTACCGGTAAAGCAGATTACCGTGTCTATCATCTCACATTGTTACTTATTGTGTGTACTAAGAGCAGCTAAAATTTACTTATTTAACAAAATCCTTGTCAACCTATCTTCTTTTATAAGCAAAAAGCCAACTTACTTTTTAAGAAGCTTTATGGCATGGCTCTGCTTAAAAACAAAACAAACAAAACAAAACAAAACAAAGACATGATATATAACCAATAGGAACACTTGAAGAATTAAGTAACTCAGATCAAGTTATAAATAAAATAGTACCTTAAACAGCCCATAATGATTTAAGATGACTTAAGACTGTGATTCACTCTGCATTCTTAATATCTGGGCTATAAATAAAAGTTTCCCAATGCCTAAAGTCAGAGCCATGACAATAAAACTATTTAAAGAATATAATCATAAGGCTGTCCCAATAGCCTAGTGGTTAAGAGGAGCCAAAGCCACCATGGCAATGGTGGTTCAAATACCAGCCCTGTTCCTTAAACACATGCTAGTATTCTGAACTGGACTGAAGTGTACTCACGTTAGGTAAATTCACTTTACAAGCTAGGTGATATATACTGATCAAATGTAGAAAAGAATGGGAACCAGCAGTTAGCATAATGGCTATGTCGCTGGACTCCCACGTAGTCGACCGCGGTTCGCGTCCCAGACCCGGTGGCTTAAAACTCACGCCGGATGCGTGTGCATGCGTGCCCAAGATCCCGAGAGGAGAATGGAGGAGAAGGGATTGCGGCGTGACCATCCCCCCTGGGGGGTGATTTCTCGCTTTCTGTCTCTAATGTCTCTCTCTGTCTGTCTGGCGAGCGCACGCGCCCTATAGTGAAAATCTCTCCAAAAGAAAAAAAAAAAAAGTAGAAAAGAAAAGGAAAGAAAAGAGAAGAAAAATGACCTATTTCTTCAACTGGAGGAAACGCATATGGTATATTTATTAGTATTTGTAGCTTTACAGGAAGGTGTTCCACATGGCTGCACATGACCCTGAGGTGAGCGACAGGAATAGCTTCACTCAGGCTGCTCAGAGCATTGGCAGAAGTGCAGCTCAGGCCTTCAGTCTCAACTGACATGCTAAGGATATGATACTCAATTATTTTATAAAGTTTTAGTAAAGTCTTGGTAAAATCATTTCAGACTCAGTGAGGTGACTAAATCATTTCAGACTCAGTGAGGTAACTAAAAATGATTCTTTGACTTCTAAAAAATTTTTGGGAGGATATATAAAACACAGTGGAAATAACTGGGACTACTATAACACACTTTATATATATATATAGCCTTGATTGACAAAGTTGAAAATTATAAAAAATATTTGTAAAGATGCCAATTATTCTGAGATTAAAGTTAGAATCAACTACAGAAGTAAAACTGCAAAATTCATAAATTTGTGGAAATTAAACAATATACTTTGAAATAACCACTAGATAAAAATGAAATCAGAAGAGAAATTAGAAAATAAGACAGGGGCCAGCTGGGTGGCATAGTGGTTAAAGTGACTAGATCCTATGTGGCCAACTATGCGGTTTGGGTCCTGGTATCCCCAAAATCCCAGGAGAATGGTGAAGGGATTGTGGTCTGGTCATCTGATCTGAAGGGTGCTTTCTAAGTTTCCCTCTCTCTCTAGTGAGCAACATGCCCTACGGCAACTTTTTTATTTTTTTTTAAGAAAAAGAAATAATTAAAAAGAAAAAAAAAAGACAAATAAAAATAAAAATTATGAGATATAGATAGCTAAAGGTAGTGCCAAGAAGGAAATTTTTCACTATAAACTCATACACTAAAAACCAAAAACTCAATATTACAACTTAAGGCACTAAAAAAGGGAACAATAAAATAACCCAAAACTAGCTGTAGGAAGGAAATAAAAGACTGAAAGCAAAGGAGTCAGCAGGTGATATAGGGTTAAGGAGCTGGACTTTCTCGTGATCGACTGTGGTTCAAGTCCCAGACTTGGAAGCTTAAAACTCATGTCAGGTGCATGTGTGTGTTGGGAGGAAAAGGGACTGCAGCATCTCCATCCACCTTGGGCAGTCATTTCTTGCTTTCTGCCTCTGTCTCTCTGGCTAGTGCATACACTCTATAGCAAAAATCTCTCTCGAAAACAAAGATTGAAAAAGAGGTAACTAAGACAGTGTGGGAAGATAGTGGGAGATGGCTGAGGGTAAGAGATAAGGAATCAAGTATGGGGGGGAGAAAACATACAAAAAACAAGAAATGGAAAATTATTTGTTGACAATAACATGTATGTTGATGTGCTTGATTGAGACAATATACAGTGTACTCTGGATGGAAAATCTCATTTTGTATGCTGTAATGATGTACAGTGAATGAACGTAAACAAATAAATTTAAATTAAAAAAAAAAGAAAAAAAGGTAACTAAAATAGAGAACAGGAATAAAAAACAAAATCAATGAAACTAAACAGACTAACCAGTAGTGCATTGAAAAGATCAGAAAACTGATAAAGCTTCAGCTAAATGTACTAAAAAAAAAACCCAAAAAACAGAAGAGACATTCAGAAATTGGGCGGCCAGTCTAGTTATTAAAAGAGCTGAATCCCACAAGGCTAACCGGGGTTCAGATTCCACCCCCAGTGGTTTGAAAAGCACACAGGGTATATGTGTGTGTGCACACCTTGTCCTGACAGCATGAAGACGGAGCAGAGACTGGTATGACCAAGCCCCTCTGGAGGCTGCTTTCCCCCTCTTCTGTCTCTGATGTGTGTATGCAACTCTAGCAATAATAAAAACTTTTAACTTTTCTAGCACTACAAACTTAAGTAGTAGTTGACTTATAACAATTTACATATCATCTTTGAGGAAAATAACAATCCTTTTGACCTATAATTAAGAAACATGGGGAACTGAACAGTGGCACAGCAAAACACAATACTCTATGAAGCTGACCCTCATGGGAAGCCTCTGGGTCCAGATCTAGAAACATCCCAAAGTGTGCTGGGCATGTGCAGGCCTATCTCCAGGCCTAGCTGAAGCTGGGGCTAGACTGTAGCATCAGACCCTGCAGGGGGTGGAGGTGGGGGAGGGGTGCTCCTTTGCATGCACGAGTTCCGCTCACATGCACATGTGCATTCACAGAAGAAGTTGTTTTGAATTTACTGTACATGACATACTTTCTCAAGCTATTCAAATACTATTTTTAGAATTTATTACATTTAAACTTAATCTTATATAAATTGTATCCTAATTTCCTAGGTATAGGAAAAAAAAGCAATGCAGGTAATAGAACTGTTCTGGTTACTAACCAAGTTGTTGTGCTTTTTCATTTACGAAAAAGTCGGAAAAGTCATAGCGTATTTTTTTCTTACGATTCAATATTTGATAAAAAGCAAAAAATAAATAAAATTTTAAAGTAAAAGGCATCTTTTTAAAGTTAGGCCAAACTAACACTATACAAACTATTAAATACAACTTGCAAATGTTTTCTTTATTTGTACCCAAGATACCACATGCAATAAAAAGCACTAAATGTCTGAAACAAGCTTCACTTATTCTGCAAATTAGGTCGCTTAAAACGTTAAAGGTCTTCAAGCTTAGTTATTCACCAACTCCCTTTCTCATTATCTAGAGAGAAAATGCATTCTTTTAAAAAGAAGCGCTCATCTGTGGAAACTTTCTAATTAACTTGGTTCAAAGCATGTGCAAGATGGCAGTTTTCTACACTGTTTCAGCATTTTAATTGGCAGGAAATGCTTAGCGGCCCATTCACGACCCCCCTTGGTAATTAAGCTAGGGTCAACTCTATGACTAAATGAGCCAATCTTGTGAAACAAACGATTTCTACCATACTCAGTATATAGCATATTTGGTTTACAGCAGTCTTTGAACAAAGTTAATGAGGTAGTAGCTGTGTCACTATGGGAGATTTATATAGAACAAGTTAACCTTTCTTAATGGTGCAGCAGTCATTAAAAATAATTACTAGCAGGGCATTCTCTCTAACAATTATTAACATCTATCAGAACATAATTAATTCAAGCTGCATTTCTGACAATGCTAATAACCACCTGCAAACAACGAATCAATATTCACTATTAGTAACATATTTGTTTTCAAAGAAAGTACAATTCTTTAAGGCTTTTCAGATAGAATAAGCTTTAAGTTTCAATATTACTATAGTCAAGCATCTGCCAAAGGCGTCATTACTATATATACTATATAGTATTGTATATATAGTAATTAACATATACAGTAATATATACATATTGTTTATATATAAAAATATATATGGAATTTTATATATACATATATATTACTGTAAATTTAAAAAATATATATAGCAATATGACAGCATAGACAATGCTTCAAATGAGACAGTCTTGTCAGTTTGTTTTTCCCTGCAAAGAACAAATGCATTTTATTTTTAATTAAATTTCTTTTCAGACCTAGCTTCTTTTTTTTTCTCCTAACAGTAAGAAATTATAAATACCTGAGAGGACCATGCCCTCAAGGTGACTGATCAGCTATAAGAACAGTAAGTGTGAACTTAAGAAAGAGGATAACTTTTATCTAAGATCAGAATTCAAATCTAATTTGTGAACCCATTTTCTTGTCTTTACTGATCGTATTAGACTGAAACCAGCTTGTCTAACTAGAAAACTGTCCTTGGGTTTTTTTTTTTTATTTTGTTTTTTAACCAATAACCTATACTTACAGCAATACTTACACCAATACTTTACCACTTTCCTGACAATGTGTCTGCATTATCTGTCAAAGTGCTAGATATAATTATACATAATTCTCATTTCTCTGTCACTTACATTCCAGAAGAGTGCTTCTAAGAATGTTTCTATAAAGAAACTATAGAGCAGAAAGCATAGTTTTAGGGTGTAGTGGTTATATGCTTTAGATGGAGTAATACTGTAGTCTATGGGTCTACCAGGTGTGACAACGATGAGTTCCTTCTTTAAGCCTCCTTTTCCTCACCAAATGGAAGTAAATAAAAAAGATAAAACTTTTATTTATGGGTTTAATAAATAAAATATGTGGGACTAACAGATGCCATAATGGGTACATTGCTGGATTCCCACATAGTCGACTGCTATTTGAATCCCAGACTTGCTGGTTTAAGTAAAACTCAGGTGCATGTCCAAGATCCCCAGAGGAGAATGGAGTAAAAGCGCCTGCAGCATGGCCATCCCATGGGGGTGATTTATCACTCACTGTCTCTGTCTCTGTCTGTCTTTCTTGTGAGTCCATACGCCTGACAGCAAAAATCTCCCTCAAAAAAAAAGGAAAAATATTCTTGTAAAAGTGTTTAGTATAGCACATAGGATACCAAAAAATTGAAGCTGTGTGATTAATTTATCTATTCTGAAGTTATTTTCCTATTGCAAAGAAATTAACCAGAAACATAAATGAAGGTAGATGCCTAGGAAACTTACCTTGTTATGTTATATGATAGCATTTTCTTTTATTTGTACTCTAATGTTTTTTTCCTTTTTTAAGAGAGCTTTGCTCTAGCGCACACGTGCTTGCTAGAGAGAGAGACAGAAAGCTAGAAATCACCCCCCAAAGGGGATGGCCACACCACAGTCCCTTTTCCTACATTCTCCTTTTGGGATTTTGGGCATGCACAGGCACCCAGCATATGGTTTAAGATGCTGGGTGGAGACTCAAACTACAGTTGGCTATGTGAGTCAGCAACATAACCATTACACCATCTGCTGGCCCCATTTAAGTTGTAAGAAACATCTTTAAACCAAACAAAACTCTATATAATGGAATCTAACATTCATAAACTACCTTATTCCTATAGTATGAAAACATTTTAATTGTGTTCTTCCTATCCTTTATCTTGCCAGAATTCAGACTTTAGTCCATACTCATATGTATCATTTTAATTATTTTTTTGAAGGCCAGATACATCTTGGGCATTCAACCAGAATTGTGTTCATTATTCTAAATTCACAGCAGTTCCATTGTGGTTTTGCACATAGTGAAATTATTCATGAAAATCCCATGCACTGTGACATTTTATTTGAAGTATACTAGGCTTCACTGCTAACATGTAGAAAAATTAAAAAAAAAAAAAAAAAAAAAAAAAAAAGGTACAATCTAGCCCTGCAGTCTAGTGGTGAAGGGTATCAGATCCAGATCCTACATGGCCAATCACAGTTTGAACCCTGGCCCTTGTGGTTTGAAAAACACATCAGGCATGTGTGCATGCATGCCCAAAATTATCAGCATGATCACACCTCATTGGGGGGCACAGTCTCCCTCTCCTTCTCTTTCTCCGTTGTATGCATGCACCCTCTGGCAATTAAAAATATATGCTGTAAAATACTCAGCAAATAAATAACAAAATGGTTAAACTACATAAGCTTGAAACCCAGAACTACCAATTACTAGCTCTGAAATCTTGAGGAAGTAACTGGAAGAATAATAACATATAATTCAAGACTGCTATAAAGTGTAAACGAATTATGTTGGGTACAGTGCCTGTAGCATGTACTCATTAAGTAAATAAAGTAAAAAATTAAAACTATATATTAACTAAATGTTAACTACCACTATAAAGAAAAAAATGTCAGAGAATGTTATTTGCATTTTATTTATTTATTTTTTTGGAGAGAATTTTGCTAGAGGGCACATGCACTCACTGGAGAGACAGAAAGAGAGAGAGAGAGAGAGAGAAAATGAGACATCATCCCTCTGGCAGGTAGGCCATGCCATAATCCCTTCTCCTTCTTCATTCTCCTCTTGGGATTTTAGGCATGCAGGCATGCAGGCATACACATGCACCCCGTCTGAGTTTTAAACTGCCAGGTCCAGGACTCAAACCATGGTCACCTTATGTGGGAATAAGCAACTTAACCATTACTCCATATGCTGGTCCTACTTATTTGCATTTTAGAAATACAAATCTAGTTTAAGTGCTAAAGATGTCTTACGAAGGGGAAAAGAACACAAGTAAAGGTTATAAAGTTATTTCAACAATCCAATAAAGAACCAACAAGAACCTGAACTGACAGGTTATGACAGATTAGCTGAACCTGAAAGATATTGAGAGGTAGGGTCAGATGGACTTCATAAATGATTATACAAAGGAAAGAGAAAAAAAGTCACAGGCTGACTCAGTGGCGCAGTGGTAATGGCATTCAGGAGAAGCTGGATCCCACATGGCAACCATAGTTCCCAGTCGGCCCAAAACACACCAGGCATGTGTAGGAGCAGAGGATTCAGAAGACAGAATAAAGGAGACATAGCGTGATGGAGTCTTATGGAGAGAGCTCATCTCTCTCTCTCTCCCCCCTCCCCTCTCATTCTCATATACACGTGCTATCATAAATAAGGAAGAAAAATAATTTTTTTAAAAGAACATGAGGCTCAGCCCATAGACTGGTGGTTAAAGCAACTGGATTTCCTAAGAACAACTGGACTGTTCAAGACCGGAGCATGCTGCCTAAAATCCTGAAAGAAGGGAAAAATGAACAATGGACTATAGCCTGACCGTTCCCCATGGGGGTGCTTTTTTGCTTTCTGTCTCTCTGACAATCACATGCACTCTCTGGCAATTTTTCCTTCCTTTTTTTTTTTTTTCTTTTCTTTTTGTTTTTATAAGAGAGCTCTTATAAAAGTAAATATATTTTTAAAAGAAAAAGAGTCTTTATCCCCAGTAAAGTTCACTGGAATATCAACAATCAAGTTCATATCCCAACCATCTAGCATTTCTAAAACATTCCTAGAATTTAAACATATTAGCTTTCCTTTCTCCTTTAAAAATTTAATAATCTGGAGACAGCAGGTAGGATAGTGGTTAAGGTGCTGGACTCCCACATAATCAATCAGAGTTCAAGTCCAGGACCCAGTGGCTTGAAACTCAGGCTAAGCGTGGGTGTGTGCATGCCAAAATCCTGAGGAGAAGGGATTGTGGTGGGGCCATTCTCCAAGGGAGTGATTTCTGGCCTTCTATTTCTCTGGCAAGTGCACGTGTCCTATAGCAAACATCTCTCACAAAGGAAAAGAAAAAAATTTAATAATCTCTGCTTTTCACGAGAGGACTCCAACCCTGATAAATGTTTAAAATGATAAAACCAAATAATTTTCATTAAGGGGCCCATTATTTATATTTGCTCATCAATTATCAGAAACCTGTATTTCCTCTTTAATCTAGTTCTCTTTCCATAGTAAAATATTCCTCTGTAATACCAAAAGAGGTAAATAAAATGTATTATGCCTCCTGTATTCCCCCAATCTTTTTTAACATGCATATCAAGACCTTATTAAAACATATTTAAGTCTGATTACCAATAAAAAGCCAATTTAGGATTACTTTCCAATAGAACTATAGTTTGAAACAGTAAGTACTGATACTATTTTAAGAAAAAAACAGATCTCTTTCTTACCTGATGCCCCTATATTTGCCTTATCTTCAGGAACCAGACTTTTATCCTTATTTAAATCTTCAACTAAAAGTTTGTCAAAATGCTCAATACAAAGTCTGCTGTCGATCTGATACAACAATGCAGGGCAAAGGCATGTAAACAGATCAGGTGAGATGGGAGAGTTGGCACCATGACCATAGTATTTTAACAACTGAGTGACGTTCAAACACTGTAAGAAAATTGATAAAAATAAATTAAGTAAAAAAGTATCTTTGAGAAGGTAATTCAGAAAAATTAATTACTGTATAATAAAAAATTCTAAATATGACTTGAAAATAATTATAATACACAGATAACTATTACAAATAAAACTTTTTCAAAGGAGTTTATAAGGATACATTCAACTAAATTACCCTAAACATTTTATAGATGTTAATATTTTTTCCTTTTTTTGGAGAAGATTTTGCTATAGGGCACATGCACTCACCAGATAGACAAGGGGAGACAGAGAGACAGAAAGCGAGAAATCACCCTCCAGGGGGATGGCCACACTGCAATCCCTTCTCCTTTCTTCTCTCTGGATCTTGGGCACACATGCACCCATGTCTGGCATGAGTTTAAGCCACCGGGTCCAGGACTTGAACCGTGGTCGACTACATGGGAGTCCAGCGACATAGACATTACACTAACTGCTGGTTCCTGGACTTAAATAATTTTTCGACTCTGAAACTTGAAAGATAATGACTTTCTGATACTGGTAAGAATGAATCACAACTATACTCCCAAGATGTTTATGGGATACAAAGAAAAATCACTTGCCTATCGATTTACAATAAAATAAGTGACTAAAGATCTTTATCACTAAAATAGTGATAAACATATAGATTGAGAGTGCTTTTAAAAATATATTATGCCAGGGCTGGTAGTGTGGTAGTTAAGCCACTGGTCTCCCACATGGCCGACCACGGTTTAAGTCCTGGATTTGCCAGCTTACTTTCTTACTTTTACTCTCTGACGCTAAGAATGATGTTTTATACTTACATTCGCCGTAAGACATATCTAACATGGCACCTTCACCACATTAGCTACCTAGAAAGCACAGCCTTAATTTAATTAACAGACAACTGTGTATTTCACAGTATTCGTACTTGGGCCTTAAAGCAATCTTCCATTGATCATCCTTTGACCTTGGATTGTCTAACGTCTACAACATCCTTGAAAGAAAAACAAAGCTCACACCTATTTCAAAGGACTGCTTTGTTGGCCACAGAAACCTAAGCAAAGTATGCTATTCATATTTAAGTTACATGACAATTTTATAGTTTCCAAATGGAACAGAACTTGGGTCCAAAGGCCAGGGGAACATTTTAAAAACTGTATCTATGCTGTGTTTATTCACAAATTATTTGGAATTTAAAATTCTAGAGTCTAAAACACTTTGACTCTAAACTTCAAAAATAATTGGTATATAGACCTGCAGGTTGCATGATGGTTGGGGTGCTGGACTCCCATATGGCCAGCCATGGTTCGAGTTCTTGACCTGGCAGCTTGCTTTCTCTCTCTCTCTCTCTCTCTCTCTCTCTCTCTCTCTGACTATAGCAAGTTAAACAATAATAATAATAAATTAAATTAAATTAAAAATTTTAAAAATGATCATTGGTATCCCATGATGAGCTATGTCTATTAGAATGGCTAAAATAAAAGATAAAGTTGACACTGCAAGTGCTGACAGGGATGCAGAGCAACTGTAGCTCTCATGCAGAGCTGGTAGGCATGCAAAACTGTACAACCGCTTTAGAGAACAGCTTGGCAGCGCGTAAAGTTAAGCTGCCAAGTTAACCATGTGAACCAGCAAACCCATGCCTAAGTATTTACCCAGGTAAAAAATGTGCTGGGGCCAGCAGGTGGCATGGTGGTTGAGGCATGCTGGACTCCCACATGGTTGACTCCAGTTCAAGTCCCAAACCTGGTGGCTTGCTTTCTCACTTTCCTTCTCTCCATCTCTGTTTCTGTCTCTCTCTGGTCAAATTAATAATAATAATAATTAATAAAATACACTTAAATTTAATTTTAAAAATACGTTATACCATAATACAGACATCTGCATTACCAGAGGTAATCCAAAAGAATACTGTATTGAGAAAGTCTAGCTCAATGTCATTGTGGGAGACAAAACTGGAAGCTGATCAAAACTAAGCAGCTTTGGGTGGTTCTGTGGCTTGGTGGTTAAAGAAGCCAGATCCCACAGTTTGAATCCTAGCGTTAGCTGGCTTGAGAAACATGCCAGGCATGTGCGTACAAGTGGCTGAAACACTGACAGAATAGAGAAATGGAGAGACTGAGAAGGGATTGTGGCATGACCATGCCCCATTGTGGGCTGCTTCTCCCCCTCTTTCTCTGGCAAGTGTGCACACATACACTGGCAAAATTGAAAAGAAAAAAAAAGAATAAGAAAAAGAAAAGTAGGTATCTTCATCTACTGGTACTTTTAAAACAAAACAAAGCACAACTAGAAAGCAAACAAGTACCCAGACTAGATGTGCAGGTGGTAGCAAATGGAACTGCAGCGCAAGAAACCACATGGCTGACTATGGGTTCAGATCCTCTGGTCAGAAAGAAAACAAATGTGGGTGTGTGCTTGTGTGCCCAAGATCCTAACAAGCTGGAGGGCTGAGACAAGGAGACTGCAGTGTGTAGAGACCTGCTGAGGAAGCTTCCCCCCCTTTCCTTTCTCTTTTTCCCTCTTGTGCACACACATGTGCTTCTTTTGCGAATAAAATAAATAAGCTTAAAACAAAACAAAACAAAAATGGCAAACAAGTTTGGACCCATCATATAGTAAAATCATATACCTAAAATTAAGACAAAGGAGATGGCATTACCCCTTTTTCACATATAGCCACTCTAATTGCATGCTTGTTTATTGACTCGTTACCTCACTATATGATTTTATCTATGGCGAACACACATACCAAGAAACTTAGAAACACACAAAAATGATTCTTCTCCAGTCTTAACTACCAAGGTAGTTAATTACCCTAAGCAATGCATAAAATATTTTCAGAAATTCCAAGAGAATTCTGAATGTAGACCAGATCTATGAGGATACCAATAGCAAATCTCATAATGTAGATCTGAGTCCTGATATAACCAGTAAACATGAATAATAAGATCTAATTATTATCAATAAAAGAAACTGTATCCACAGTAATAAAGGCATGCTTAGAAAGCACATTAAAACCTTAACATAAAGTTAATGAAATTATTTTAAAATTAGTGTTTATAACTACTAAAAACCCAGCATCTGATGATTTCTCCATGGAAGAAACGCAAAGATACTTAAACACAAAACACATCTCAATGAAAGTGACAGAAATAGTAAAGGGTGAAATCATTTTCTACATTTGATGGTGCTACTTTCTATGAAACAAATTCAACATTTTTTCTCAACTTAAATTAGAATAAATAAGGATATTGATATACCTTTAATAAAACAAAAATAGACATGTTTGAACAGTTTTTTAAAAATTGAGAAGGAACTAATGAAATGTGAAAGTATCCAAGCATATAAAAATGTACAAGGTAAACGAAACAATCCCACTATTACTGGAGTTTCCTACTATATATTCTTGCATTCACTAGCAGTCTGTGAAAGGCATGAGAAAACACCAATATCATGAGTACACAGACCTTATCATAAAATGACATAGAGAAGACTACAATATGCACAAAATACCTGGCTTTGGAGCTAGATGAATGAATGGGAATCATTCAGTGTCAAACAAAGCATAAACAAAATAGCAAAGTGAAGAATTAAAATAAGAAATACAGAGCCAGCCAGGCAGCAAGGTGGTTAAGGCAGTTGGATCCCACATGACTTGACTATACAGTTCGAGTTCCAGACCTGGTGGCTTTAAAAACACACTGGGTATAGAACCAACAGTTGGTGTAATGGCTATGTCACTGGACTCCCATGTAGTCAACCATGGTTTGAGTCTGGAACCAGTGGCTTAAATTCACACTGGGTGCGTGTGCATGCGTGCCCAAGATCCAAAGAGGAGAATGGAGAAGAGATTGGTGGGGGGTGGGGGGGGCGATTTCTTGCTTTCTGTCTCTCTGTTTTTCTGGCCAGTGCATATGCCCTATAGCAAAAACCTCTCAAAAACAAAACAAAACACTGGATGCATGTGTGTGCATGCCCAAAATCTTGAAAATAGAAAGGGACTGTAATATGGTCATGCACCCCCTAAGGAGTGCTTTTTCACTTCTCTCTCCCTTTTCACCCCTTCCCCCAGCAAGCAATTATGCCCTATAGCATACTAAAAAAATAAATGAAAAGTTAAAAAAATAAGGAGTACATTTATAATAATACTTACATATTTAGACTTCAGGAACCCAAACTTGGTAAGAAACAATACAAATGAGAATCCAGATTTAAAAACAAACAAACAAACAAAAAACTCTACCCTGATTTGTTATCTGTTAGGAATGTGACCTGATGCCCCATATGTAAACCTAGAGTAGTATGTTTAAATATGATTAACTATCCTACTGTTACACAATCTTTAGGTATCTAAAATGCTCTATAATTATCTGAGAATTACCGGGCAACCGTCAGACATCTTTCATACTTACTTCATGTTGCCGGTCATCTTCGTTATGATCTTTGTGACTAGCAGCTGAATAAATTGCACTTTTTTTAACATGGGGTGCTTCTCGTTTTCTGGTATGTCGAAGTTCACCTTCATTTTCAGGATCAAGATCTTGGTGTCCATGACCAGAATCATGACCATGTTCTGGGAGATGTACATGAGAATGGCCTGGGTTATGTGCCCGATCAGGTTTGTGGACTCGATTATGTTCATACTGTTCACCCTGATCATGGTTAGGGGGAAAACCTGGTGTAATAACCTCCGAATTTTCATTACTTTTCTTCCCTTTTTTCCTCCTCTTTCCTTTCAGTAGCTTAACATCAGATTGTTCCTGTGTTTTATTGGTCTCCGTCGATGGTTGATGGCTAGGCTCTCCACGCTCACTGTGAGTAATGGAATCATTATGCACATGGCGAGTAGTGTTATGATCAAGGTGATGATGCAAATGATGGTGATGGCGTAAGCGATGATTATTATGGTCATGTGTGTGTTTATCATCAGATTTTACAGATACTTCAACTGTCTCTTTCTCTGGATCACACTTATGGTTTCTTTTTGTTGATACACTGGTCACAGTTTGATTTTCTGAATTTAAATGATTATGGGAATGCTGGTGGTTGTGTGAGTGAAAATGCTTTCCTTCTTGAACGGCCAAAATATCTAAGTGAGAAACATGATCGTGGCCAAGATCCTCATGATTAATCTCAACTACTTTTATCTCTCCAAGGCCCAAGTTTGTTAAAAGTTTCTCCAGACCGAAAAAGGATAACCTTCCATTTTCACCGTAACGGTCAAAAAGTTTTTCAATATAGTATTTTTTTTCATTTTCAGCATCTGCACATTTGCTTGGCTCCAATTCTGTCATTCCACGATGGTGTCTGTGAAGTTCTTCAGGGCCATGGTCATGTTCTTCATGGCAATGGTTGCAGTGATGGAAAATAAATGTCAGCAAACAAATGAGGCAAAATTTTGTGTGCATATGTACCTTCATTTCTATTTTTCCTATAGAGATTTAAAAAAGCAAGATAAGCATTAGTTCATACCTGAGCATATTCAAAATAATCATAAACTCTCCAGCAGTTACCAATCCACTAAGCAAATGTTTTATACCATTTTTTTCAAAGCAATGAATTATTCTTTTTCCCAAGTCCCTGTAATAACAACATCTTTTAATTACTAATAACATACAACTCTTGAAATACAAATTGCCTAAAACCTACCTTCAAGGTCATTCTGATTATGTTTAAGCAAAACACTAAAAACGTCTATACATTTATATAAAACTACTGTCTTCATTCCTATTAGGTCCATAATAAAAAAAAGTTTGCCTATCCCTGCCCTTGAGGTCCTGGTCAGTATAATAAGGCAAAAAGAAATGAAGGTCATGATTTCTCACTTTCCCTCTGTCTCTTTCCCATGAGATAATGTGCCCTATGGCAAAATCTTAAAAATAAAAAATAAGATCAGCAATCTAAAATCAGTCATATATCTACATACAGCAATAAGTAGAAAGTGAAATTAGAAAACAACACCATTCATGGTATCTAATAGCCAGGAATAAACCTAACAAAAAACATGTAAGATTTTTATATAGAAAAGGATTATAAATTATTGAGAGAATGAGAGACCTTAATAACTGGATGGCTATATCATACTTATGATCCGTTAAGCTACAGATCCAATACAATCCCAATCCAAGTCCCTGAAGTTATTTTGTGAAAATTGATGAACTACGTTTAATATTTATACAGAAATTTTTGAAAAGGACCAACAATAATCAGAGGGACAAAAAAACCTCTTGAAAAACAAAATAGGGTCTAATCACAGTGGAGCAGGTAGTAGTAGACTGCTATGTGGTGCTGGAAGCCCCATGACCAACTGTAGGTTCAGATCCTAAGGTGACCTGAAACGTGCCAGGGGTATGGGGGCCCAAGATTCTGACTAGCTGAAAAGTTGGAGGAGTGAGGGTCATGACATGACAAGACCATTTGAAGGTGTTTATATCATGCTCTCTTTTTTGCTAATATACTCTCTCTCATGAAAGAAAGAAAGAAACCCTTTTTTAAAGAATTATTTCACTTAACTTTAATTATTTTATTTACTTATATGTATTTGACCAGACAGGGGCAGAGTGAGAGAGAAATTAAAATAAATGAATGAATAGATATAATTTAAATAATTCTTTAAAAAAAAGATTTACTTGGTAGACTAATTTTTTTTTTTTTTGGAGAGGTTTTTGCTATAGGGTGTGTGCGCTCGCCAGACAGAGACAGAGAGATAGAAAGCGAGAAATCATCCCCCAGGGGGGATGGCCACGCCGCAATCCCTTCTCTTCCATTCTCCTCTTGGGATCTTGGGCACGCATGCACACGCGCCCGGCATGAGTTTAAGCCACTGGGTCCGGGACTCAAACCGCGGTCGACTATGTGGGAGTCCAGCGACATAGCCATCACGCTAACTGCTGGTCCCAGTAGACTAATTTTAAGACCTTCAAGATAAAATACAAAAAGCATTATAAAGAAAAGACTAACACTGTATACTATATCAAAATAAAGAATTTGTTAATCAAAAGACATCTTGAAAAAAGTGAAAAGACAAGAGATGAATTGGGAGAAGACTACCATAATGAACTCCTACAAGTCAATATAAAAATTATAAGACAACCTAATGGAAAAATGGGTAGGAAACTGAGCTAAGTTACTAAGAAGCATATGAAAAAAAGCTGAACGTCAATAGTCATTAAGGAAATTTAAAATCACAATTACATACTACTAAATACCTACCAAAATGACTAAAATATAAGACTGCAAAAATCTCGTAAACTAGAGACCAGCAGTTGGCATAATGGCTATATCACTGGACTCCCATGTAGTTGACCGTGGGTTGTGTCCCAGAACTGGTGGCTTAAACTCATGCCAGGTTCACGTACAGGTGTGTGTGCCCAGAATCCCGAGAGGAGAATGGAGAAGGAACTGCAGAATGGCCATCCCCCCCTGGCGGGGTGATTTGTCTCCCTCTGTCTTTCTGGCAAACGCACGTGCCCTATAGCAAAAACCTCTCAAATAATAATAATAATCTCATAAACTAACTTGAAAATTGAAAAAAAACCATGTGCTGTATCACATATAGACAATTTAAAAACATGTAAAATACACATGAACCAAGGGGATAACATGCGGATTACATTTTGAAGAGGGGTTTATCTTCTCAGGGACAGAAGGAAAATAATCTGTTAATGGTAGAGATATGCAGTACATATTTCATTGAATTGGCAGTGTTTTATTTCTCTAGAAAGGGGAGGGGATCTGAAGCTTGTAGCAAAACAATTATTTGTGAAGACAGAATAATGAGATTCAGAAGTTTGTAGTCTTCTATGTACTTTTTCGTAAATTTGAAAAGAAATCACATAACCCATATCGGTGCTTAATCCAAGTGTGGTTGTAAGAGCAGCAGAAGCAGCATCGAGGTCATCTAAGAATTAGAAACGCAGAGTCGTGGACCCCACCCAGTCCTGCTAAATCAGAAACGGGATATTGCACAGCAATGCTTTATCTACTTAGTTTTCCTATTCTGCAATCTAGCTAAGGTTTGAGAACCACTATCTATATAAATAAATTACCAAACACTCCATTTAAAATGATACTTTAGTTAATTGAATGTTATGATTATCTGAATAAATCAGGTTGAATTATCATGTGATGGATATATTGGTTGCCAGAAATGATTAGTCTATAAAATAGATTTAATTCCTGGGCAGCTGCAATGGTGCAGCAGTAATGCAATGATCCACAATGCTGAAGCCATACTGGAAGACCCCAGATTTGTGTCCTAAGGTCTCCTTGTACATATTGGGAACACATGTGCCCATGAACCTGGCTGGAAGATGTTCCTGAGAGGATTGGAGTGTGAAGACCTCGTTGGAGGTGCCTGTCTCTATTTCTCTCTCTCTCACATGGAAAAAATTAATGTATTCAAGTCCAAAGTTACATTAAGTTTAAGATATGGTTTTTAAGCCAAACACTTCCATTTCTTCCAGTCTCATTGATACAGTTGTCATTTAAAAGACATCAGTTTTACCTGTACACTAAAAAAGACAAAAGGGCATGGATGATTTAAGGATAATCGCTATTAAGCAAAAGAAGATACATATTCCTTTAGCTCCTAAATGTTAAACTCCCTGAAGTTACCTTGGTTTCTCATTAGAAGATGCTAGTGAAAGGTGATATTCTGAGTGAGTGTTGCTCCATTCATCTGGTAAGTAACTGTCATGAGGGGTCTTCAGTGCACATTATCTCACTGTCCAATGAATAGGTACCAGTGGTGGAAATAAAACATACATTGATCAGACAACATCAAATGAATGACTCCATGAAATACAATAGCTAACACTATCAAGCACAGATGGTCTATATAAGCTTTAAATTCTCATTTGTCTCTAGTTTTTAAGTGTACAGTACTCAACTTGTTTCCTGTAAAGATTCCAAATATCATCACATTTGAAAAATATCATAGGAACGCAAGAACATAAGTACCACCATAGGAGTAAACCTAAACATGTACTAACTTTTCAAAGCACATCATTCACAGACTTTTAACTTCAGTTTGGAGCTATTACAGCAGATGTGTGCTTAAGAACCATTTGGATGAAATATGCATTTGTTAGAATAGCCTAAGCAGCTATTGAAAAGAACCCTCACAAAAGGCAGTGGCTTGGAAAATGAACAAGTTTTTTTCTCACAAACAACCCATGATGACTGCCCTAGGTCTGAGGGCAGCACGCTTTACTCATTCAAAAACATACCTGCCTATGTGACTGTTAGTCCAGTCAGTGGGAGAAGAAAAAGAATGGAAGTCCAGGACCAGAAATTTTTCCTCCCATTGTATTACAAGAGCTTAGTCATATCACTGCAATCAGCTAGGCAGTATAGTCTCACATATGATTTATGAAGCTTCCCAAACATTCAACAGATACTTTTTTTTTTTTGAGAGGTTTTTGCTATAGGGCGCGTGTGCTCGCCAGACAGACAGACAGAGACAGAGAGAAAGTGAGAAATCACCCCCCAGGGGGAATGGCCACGCTACAATCCCTTCTCCTCCATTCTCCTCTCAGGATCTTGGGCACGCACGCACATACGCCCAGCGTGAGTCTAAGCCGCCAGGTCCAGAACTCGAACTGCGGTCCAGAACTCGAACTGCGGTCCACTACGTGGGAGTCCAGTGACATGGCAATTACACTAACTGCTGGTCCCCCGCATTCAACAGATATTAAGAATCCTTTTCTGTCTACAGCACAGCACGAAGTGGATCTTTAGAGCAGAGACAGGAATGGGTAAAATGTTACCCAGGTTCATATGCCACTCAACCCTCAATACTGGCTTTTACAGGACCCTCTGAGAGCAAAAATATTCTAGTATGCCTCTTGAGTTCTGGAAATTTCCAAGTTTTGTATCTTGAAAATATGTTAGTTATATAATTCACAGCAGTTATATAAAATTCACTGAATTTTTTTCAATTCAGTCAATTTATAGTTATCTATCTAAGACATCTATTAGATAATACTACAGCAGAAGAAATGGAAGAATATGTTCCTGTAAATACATACTAATAGCAGTTGCCACTACAAATTTATTTTCACCCTTTGCTGTGGATTTCAAAGTAAAAAGTTTAAGCAGGGCTACACATAGTGCAGTAGTAACAACGCTCTGCAAGGCAGACCACAAAGGAAGGTTCCAGAGACTTCCTTGAACATGCCGGGTGTGGGTGTGCCCATGATACTGGCTGGCTGATGCTGGGGGTGGATTGCAGGATGAAGACCCTGCTGAGGATACCTATCTCTCTGTCTCTATCTCTCCTGCTCATGTAAGAAAGAAAGAAATGAACTAGAAAAAAAAAAGTTTTATCATTGTATAATTTCTTCATTAAGAGCAGGGTTGAGACCAGCAGATGGCGTAATAGTGATGTCATTGGGCTCCCACGCAGTCAACTGCAGTTCAAGTTCCAGACCTGGCGGCCTAAAACTCATGCCCAGCACATGTGCATGCATGCTCATGCACCGTGGCCATAGCCACAGGGTGATTTCTCACTTTCTGTCTCTGTCTCTCTTGCAAGTGCACATGCCCTATAGCAAAAATCTCTTAAAAAAAAGATCAAGGTTAATTTCCATATAGGCAATTTAATCTTTGTGTTGATGATCATATTAGTTTTATTTTGCTTTGCATGAAAGAAAAATGAAGTTCACTAATACTCTCCAATATGTAACACTAACATTAGAAGTACTTAATAAAGATACTAGTTATACCCTGGTGTAGGGAGTGACTAGTTGTATGATGAGGAAAATTCTGAGTGGCTGTCAATGGTCTATTTTTTCACTTGGGAACTGATTACATTGGTGTGCCTTATTTTACAAAAACTGTTTGGAATTTTACATTTAATATTTGGGTATTCTTCTGTAGCTGTATTATATTGCAATGAAAATGTATATTTTAGTCCCTACATGAAGAATACAAAGGGTCATCCAAAAGCTCATGGAAAATGCCCATTATTAAAAATGCACAGTTTCAAAAATTGTTAACACCAAAATAAACTCTAATCCCTAAAGAGGATTTTTTTTTTAAAAGATTTTTGCCATAGGATGAGTGCGCTCGCCAGAGAGAGACAGAAAGGGAAAGTAAAAAATCACCTCTGAGAGGAATGGCCCCGCAACAATCCCTTTTTTTTCCCTTCTCCTTTCTGGATTTTGGGCACACATTCACTCGTGCCCAGTGTGATTTTCAAGCCACTGGGTCCAGGACTCAAACGGCAGCTGGTCATGTGAGAATCTGGCACCTTAAACACCACATCACCTGCTGGTTCCTAAAGATGATATTTTTTTTTTTCTGAGAGTTTTTTTTACTACAGAGCACGAGTGCTCGCCAGAAAGACAGAAAGAGACAGAGAGACAGAAAGCGAGAAATCATCCCCCGGGGATGGCCACGCTGCAGTCCCTTCTCCTCCATTCTCCTTGGGATCTTGGGCACGCACGCACATGCGCCCAGCCTGAGTTTTATGCCACCAGGTCCAGGACTTGAACCGCAGTCGACTACAAGGGAGTTCAGCGACATAGCCATTACACTAACTGCTGGTCCCCTAAAGGTGAATTTTTAAAACCTTTTTATTTTGGGGGCTAGCAGGTGGCACAGTGGTCAAGACACTGGACTCCCATATGGTTGATTGTGGTTCGAGCCCTGAACCTGACAGCTTGCTTTCTCACTTTCCCTTTCTCTCTCTGTCTTTCTCAGGTCTAATAACAATAATAACAACAACAATAATAATAATGACAGAACTCTGGCTGCTTTATCCTATATTCCAAAGTCCTTTCCTGAGGGCCCAGAGTCAAGCTCACAAATACTAACAAGACCACTTTGACCCACTGGTAACAGGATTCTTCCTACATCTTGTCCCTGTCACAGTATCTTTGTGATGTGATGTATATTAAGCCTCCTTATCTCTGTTCAAGTATATTCTTTTTTTATTTCAGCAAACTTTCTTTTCTAATTACCAATCTAAAAACTATAAAACTCACCTATAACATACAAGCCCTCCCCTTCCTCTTCCACATGTCCTGCCTTTTTGGGCCAGACCAATGGAAAAATTCTTCATTAACCTCCAAACTCTGTCTCTTGCTCTCAAAATCAAATAAAAGCGGGGCCAGAAGATGGCGTGGTTAAGGTGGCTGGACTCCCACGTGGCTGACCATGGTTCAAGTCCCGGACCTGGCAGCTTGCTTTCTCACTTTCCTTCTCTCTGGCTGTCTCTCTCTGGTCAACTTCAAAAAAATAAAATATAAAAAATAATGACAAAGAATAAAATTAAATAAAAAGTAATTCTTTAAAAAAAATCAAATAAAAGGAAGCCCTATATCTGATAACCTCGAGAAAGGCAATTTTTTTTTGCTTCCTCTCTGGGTCTAAGTCCCTCAAATTCATGCTTAGAAATATACTGTATGGTGGTTAAGGGCATTGGACTCCCACATGGCTGACCGCAGTTCGAGTCCCACACCTACTGGCTTGCTTTCTCACTTTTTCTCTCTCTCCATGCCTCTCTGATCAAATTAAAAATATATAAATAAAGTTAAATAAAATAATTCTTCCCCCAAAAAGAAATAAACCACAGTATTATTTTTGCAGAGTTGGTTATTTCCGTCAACAATAACGACAATAAATGAAATTAATTCTTTAAAAACTTTATTTTAAAATAATTTCAGAGTCACAAGAGGTCGTAAGACTAGTTCAAAGTTGCTGTGAACTTTATTCAACTTTCCCCAACCGTAACATCATACATAATTATAGTGTATTTTCAAAACCAGGAGACCAGCACTGATACAATTAACTAAACTACAGACCTTACTTGAATTTCACCAGTGTTTACATGCACTTTTTATAACACTGCAATAGAAAATCTGTTTTTTAACTAGGAAGAAAAAAGGTATTATTGGTATCAAAAGGTCTTGCTTAACAAATACACACATGACTAATTTAGGAGAAAGGTTTAACTGGATCCTTAAATAAAAGAAATTAAGGCACTCGTTTCAGTAGTATATATGTAGACAGTCCCAGTTTACAATGGTTTCTTATATTTTTCAGAAATAAGATGGTGTGAATGTGATATGCACTTACTAAGAAACCATATTTCAAGTACCCATGTAACCATTCTGCTTTGTCACTTTCACTAGAGTATCCAACAAATTTCATGAACCATTCACCACTCTAAAGAATATTAAACTGCTTGGGACCAGCAGTTAGTGTAATGACTATGTCGCTGGACTCTCATGTAGTCAACCGCTGTTTGGGTCCCGGATCCGGTGGCTTAAACTCACGCTGGGCACGTGTGCGTGCGTGCCCAAGATCCAGAGAGAAGAATGGAGGAGAAGAGACTGCGGGGTGGCCATCCCCCCTGGGGGGTGATTTCTTGCTTTCTGTCTCTGTCTGTCTCTTTCTGGCGAGCGCACATGCCCTTTAGCAAAAAAAAAACAAAAACAAAAACAAAAAAAACTCTCCAAAAAAAAAGAATATTAAACTGCTTTATAAAGCAACATATTAAGCTAAGGTATTACCATTACTAGGTATGGCATATATATCTTTCACCTAATTACAAAAGTACAGAACTGGAAGAAAAACATCCCTTTGTTGTACCTCCTTTGAAAGAATGCAATTAAATTATTGTGAAAACATATCCAAGAACAGCTCTGGATTACGGAGGCACTCAGTTCACCACTATTTGAGAAGTCGGAAAGACTCGCCACCACAGAACAGTTTCAC